TGATTCATATGAATATAACAACAATTACGAGTGTTTTCGGTCGAACTGTTTTTTTTCTCTCCTCGAAAAACAATCTTAATATTGATCGAGAAAAATGTTGAAAAAAAGACAAAATCAATTGCACCTTGTTCAGTCTTAACGCTGCAATTGTTTAGTAATTCGAATAATAAGAAGCATGCAGAAGAATGCTCAATTTCATTATGGGAATATAATAATCAAACATATACATGGTCATAAAAACCACATTATCAAAATAAACGAATAAATCATCGGGAGAATTTTTGTGTCCTGTCATATAATATTTGGTTTTCGAAAAACTATCAACCAATGCGTTTTAACAGTCTTTGTGACATATTAAATAAATCTGAAGCAGAAGAAATTGGTTACCAAGAAAGTTCGTTTTGTTTTCTTATTCTGATTGTAATAAAAAAATACGTTTGATTTCTTGATATATATCTATAGTGACAGAAACTATTCTCAACCAACTTTTAGAACAACTGTTTATTCAAGAACGATATTATATATTTGATATTGATGGTCGTACATTCAGTAGTTCATAGGACGTTGTCCTATTAATTGATAATCGTCTTAATGTTTCTAATTTAAATTTGGTTGATTTTCCACAGTATTCAATGACAAAACCTCGTCATACAATACCAGAACAAGCAAAATGTGATCGAATTATTTTACAGAGTCAAACAATTATTTCTATTGAAATTCAAATTTTAGGAAATCAACCTATCACCGGTCAAGAACAATCTCAAATTTATCCATCCGATCATTATGGTTTCACAGCCGTTTTTCAAAAGAAAAAATAAAAACATGATTTACATTAAAAAAAAACAAACATCAGATGAAAAGAGATCATTTATTAGGACTGATATACGTGTAATTAATCAAGCTAACATCAATGTTATTTAAATAAAAATGAAATCAAGAAATATTCATTCGAGAAATGCTTAAGATCAAAATTTTGTACTAATTCTTAATAAAGATTTTACAAATGACAATAGAACTATGTATCCAAAATTATTATTGTTACTTTACTAGACATGTAAGTCTTACGCATAAACTAATACACTATGTTGCATAAATAATGATCCAAAATCAAAGTTCTCCATTGACATTCGAAAATAGCTGAAATCTTAGAAAAAATTTACTACAATCCGTTATGCTTATTAGAAATACATTAAAAAAAACATAGTGCTTCGTAAGATAGCGAAGAACGACATTGTGTTGAATAGTTTAGTTTAATTGTATTTGAAATAGTGCAATCTCTTGAGATCATCATTTTTGCCAAGCTATAAATGCCAACATGAAATGCCGAAAAGTAACTAGAACTATGAAGTGAAGCAGCTCTCATCCATATGTACCTTATCGATTCTTCTTCATAAATGTTGGGAATTTTTCGGTGTTTTTTCAATTTTCATTCATTTCCTTTCTTTATGAAGATGCTGGAAATTCGAAATATAAGTAAAATTCTTTTCAGTGATATTTCTATATGGTTAGATAGATAATATATCATCATTTCCCATATGATATGTATGTGTCGTAGTAGAAATTAAAATTCAGTAGAATTTAAAATTCTACTAGTAGAAATTAAAATTTCAATTTCTACTAGGAGAAATTGAAATAACCGGCGATTTTAAGTTGCACTAGTGGAAATTAAAATTTTAATTTCTACTATAGGAGAATTTTAAATTCTACTAGAAACTTACACTATAGAATTATGTGAATATCTCCTAGAATAGAAAATAAAATTAACCCTCATTCGAATGATACAATATGTAGAACGCAAAGAAAAAAGATTTTGATATTTAATTTGAAGTTCTCGCGTCAGTATCAAAATAAAAGACTTGAATATTACATGAAATGGAACCATTTTATTCGAAATTTGATAAACATATAGAATCTTTAGGCGAAAGATTTCGTTCAAAGTTTGTTATCACGCAAGCTGCTTATAATGACATCATATACGGTAATAAAAGGTGGTTGGGGTGAAGCTATTTAAATTCTAGCTCCATAAACACTTTAAATTAGTTACTATTGGGGAATTACAAGTTGTTTATGCCATTAAATCGAATAATCCAGTGATCGCAAGGTTTAATTTTATTTCTATTCTAGGAGATATTCACATAATTCTATAGTGTAAGTTTCTAGTAGAATTTAAAATTCTCCTATAGTAGAAATTAAAATTTTAATTTCCACTAGTGCAACTTAAAATCGCCGGTTATTTCAATTTCTCCTAGTAGAAATTGAAATTTTAATTTCTACTAGTAGAATTTTAAATTCTACTGAATTTTAATTTCTACTACGACATATGGTCCAAATTTTTCTATTTAATCTAGTTTTTAAGTTTTCCAAAAATTTTAATCAATATCTTCAACAAAGTTTTATATAAAAAAGTATTTGAAAAAAATTTAATCGATAAAATGGTTGGATCTCACTATAGACACATCTTTCACTGACTATTTTTTCATAGTTATCACTGTCGTACATGGAACGGAAAAAAGCATAGGTTTTCAATGAGCTCATTACTGTCTCAAAATAATGTTATTATTTAGAAATTTTTATTGTCATATCTCACTTACTGAGTAAAACAAGTATCATATTCAGAATCAGCACAAGAAGCTATACTGTCTTCAGTTCCACTGCTCTAAAAAACCTTACTCAATAGTTAATTCTTTTGTTGATGGTTGTTTATTTTCCTTTTTCTTGAAAAAGACGAATTGCAGTAACAATAATCAATATTAATTTATTTGAATTCGAAAACAATATACATTTCACGAAGTAGAATTTTCAACCGTTTCCAGTTGTTAAAGTTGGTGAAATTCTGCATTTTCTTTTCGTTTTTTTCATATAAATACATTTTGAAGGCTAGATGTTATGAGTATCAGTCGTGACATAGATTCAGCTAAGTAGTATACTTTGTTTTTCTATTGTTAAGCCGTATGTTATATTCTTTTATGCTTATTTGACCCTTTTTACCTGTTCAGGATTCAATTTATCTGTCTGAAAATAGAGAAATAGCATCCGCCATTACTTATTTGATTTTAATCGACTGAGATACTCAGTCCACTATTTTTTTTTATAGCAGAAGCACACTACAATAAAAATTCAAAAACGATGGGTTATTGCCATTGGTCTAACCATATTGGTATCACGAGTTAGAAAGCCACGTGTTAAATGAAAACATTTGAGAAAACTTCGTCGAATAGTTGATGTATTCTGACAGAGAACGATAAGCATAAAAGTCAACGCAAGATTTCCAATCAAGAATAAGACCCGCATACAATAATGAGGTATAAGATCAGGACGAATTATATTCAATATTACTAAAATAATCGCTGGAATGCCGACGAAAACTAATCCAAAATTGAGCAATACGATGCGATAGACTATTGTCAAATCTCGACGCATCAGTAGTTGACGATTTCCATTCACTCTTAATGAGACTTGACGTACATTATTTACCAAAAGACGGTATACAACAACAAGAACAATATTTGATATAACAAATATTACGACATTCATATATAGTGAAAGATCTAATCTTGATAATGAAACAAAACATAAATTGTCTATAGTTAATTTCACCATGTTTCCTGTTAGAAAGACCGGCAAAGTAAAAGTAAAATCAAATATCCATTGAGCAAGAACAATCGCCATTTTTCGAGCTTGATTATTAATAAAATTGATTCTTCGAGTCTTAAAATACTTTTCTATTGCTTGTAAAATCAAAGAATGGTGAATACAAGCCATGGTTGAATGAAGAAAATAAGCACGCAACGTACAAAGAGTATCAATATTTGCTACTGATTGTTGATCCCAAATTAGCATGTAGACAGCTATCGCTGTATGGTTAGCCGAAAATACTAAAACAGCTATAATGGTATTACAAACTAATAATGTAGGAAAAGTAAAGCATTGTCTTCTGTAAATAATAACAATCATCAGACAACTAAAGGCTAGTAGAACATTGAAACAACAAACGATCATGTATAACCGATTGATGATTGAAGGAAAGTTCATGACGTTACAATCTTAAATTTTTGAATTTAATTAAGTTCAAGTCAAGCTTATTCAACCTACTTTTAATCCCAAACAGCGATTGCCAGTAGAAAGTTTATCTCGATGGATATTATCAGGAAAAAAGATCAGGATTGATAATAATATAGTACTTTTTTTTTTGAATGTTCAGCAAAAAATGAGTAGTAATCGTTGATGTAAGAAAAAATTAAATTGAAGCATGATGCTTTTTTCACGAGAGACAGACTTCTCTTCTACAGAAAAAACTATGGTAAATTATTTTCTTTATAAATGAATAGTCGTTTGCTTTCATTTTATAATTTAAAGATAATACCATATTTTATTTTGAGGACACTTGACATATTCTAAGAGAAAGAAGAAATGAAAAGGAGCATTGAAGCAATATGAATTGAAAATGTGTTAAACCATCCTCTTAGTGTCTTTCTTGACAAACTCCATTTATTTTTTTTTTATTCCACAGGGTCCATAAAGTCGATTGGAAGTAACGATGCTATAATTACCTTCGCTTGTGTCTTCTAATGAAAACATCTGAATTTTTTCGTAGAGCAATATTAATTCATTCAAATTTTCGATTAATATTTGTCATGAAATAGGATATCTATTGATACACAATGCTATTTTTGTACATTATTGAAATCAAGAAGAAATTTATCTATTCAAACATGAACAAATTTTAAGGAGACATTCGAAAAGATTTTCTCACCAGTCGATAGAACCTGGCAAATAGCAACAATGAAATTCATATCAATATATTGTAACTTGGTCACAATTATAATTTTATGCTACAATTCTGTTTTTTTTTCTTGATTATCACGATGATGTGTGAACGAGCTTTTGTTCAAGCTAATGTTCTATTTATTCTTCTAAAAAAAACTGAATAAGTTTAAACTTTTTAGCATAATATCTACAGAGTTCGAACATAAAATATATCATCAATATTTCAATTGTTGTTATTTTATTGATGTTTTCTCTGTTGCTCTATTTATTGGTATTTGTCCATATTTTTCGAGCCATTTCATTTCTTCTCGAACTTTGATTTTTCCATGCCATGGATTGATGTCAATTGAGTGTCCTTCGTTTGGAATAAGTAGTAATTTCACAGGTACATTCATATAATGTAAACTACGTTCTAATATAAAACTTTGATCAAATGGAACCCGAATATCCCTTGTACCAGTTATGATATGTGTGGGAGTCTCTACCTTACCTAGTTTATATATAATTGATTCATTATATAAAATTTCGGGTACTTCCCATGGAAATCCACCCATTAAATCAACAAGAGGCGCAGGCAAATCCGTACCACCCCAAAAAGAAATATGTTCAGTCGGTCCAGCACCAGACAAAGCAGCATTAAAACGAGTTGTTTGTGTAATCAACCAGTTTGTTAAATATCCACCGTAACTGTAACCTCCAACAGCCAGCTTATTGAGATCAGCAATACCATCTGCAATCAAACGATCCACACCTGCGAGAATATCTCTTCCTGGTCGAGATAATAATTGGAAACGAAGTTCATTGATAAATGCATCACCATATCCAGTTGAACCTCGATAATTCGGTTCAAGAACTAACCAACCTTGTGTAGCTGCTAATGGAGCCCAAGAGTACCAGTTTGCTTGTAACATATTTAGACTTGCATCGATTGGACCACCATGAATCAGAACAAGAAGAGGCAAATTTTTACATTCAAATTTTCCCGGTGGATAGTGTAGAACTCCTTCAATTGTACGATCATCTTCGTTATTGATCCATTTATAAGATTTTGCTCGAGGTAAATTTCTTTGAGTAAGAAGTTGATTTTCAGAAGTGATAGCTTTAGCTAAACATAGTTGATCAATATGATTAACAAAATAAACTTCTTCTGGTCGTTCGACAGATGAATAAACCAATGCAATGGCAGACGATTCTGTTGATAATGAAGATGATATTTGGTGATAAGTTCCCGTCCATCCACGTTGTAAAATCGAATATTTTGATGACGATTGTTGCAGATAAATTTCAACATTGATTCCTAATTGACCAAGCATATAAACACCACCTTGAGATCGAATCGTATATCCCCTTATACTTCCACCAAAATCTTTACCCCAACGTTCAATCTTTCCATTGATTAAATTGATGGAATATAGTCTGTTTTGTGTATTTACATTTTTATCTTCACTCAGAATTGATGAATCTACTATAAAAAACACATGTTTACCATCAATTGACAGTTGTAGATTGCGCTCAAGTGCTTGGTTATTTGTTAATCTAGATAATAAAGATACATTACGTAAATCAATTGAATAGATTTCGAAAGCATCTTTATTTTCAACAATAGTTGATAGAGAAGTGAAGACAAGTTTATTTTCAACTGGAACAAATAAGAGTTCAGCAGTCAAAAAGTCAATATCAGCTATAGTAATTTTTTTTACAGATACTCTTCGTTTTTTTCTACTAATATCAATACGATAAATGGTACTACTATCCGTCGGTTTTCGTTGGCGGTATCGAATTACATCTTTCCATTCAGATTCTGAAGAATTATTTTCTTCTTTGGATAATGATATTGAAACATAATAAAGAGAAGAATCACCATCTGCCCATGTTATAGCTAATGGAATTTCGCTTACAATATCAATCATTACAGTCTCTTCTGAAATAATATTATACAGATGAAGATATTGTATCAGTTTTGAATCACTTTTGTTTGAATATCCAGAATGATGATGATTGTCGGTTGGTTTATTTTCTGTACTTGTACTGACCAAAAATGCAATCCAATTACCACTGGGTGACCATTTTGGTGTAATACTTCTAGAAAGTTGATTAGTAATTAGTTTCTTTTGTCCTCCTTGTGTTTTATAGAGCCATAGTGTATTGTCATATCGATTTGATTCCCATGCAGGACGCATACTATGAACTAGTAAATATTGACCATTTGGTGAAAGACTTAATGATGAATAATAGGTTGAATTAAGAAATTCATCAATGGTTAATTTTGGTAATGTCTGAGCTAAGGAACTAGACAAGAATTTGAAAATGAATAATATTAAATACAACTTCATTTCAGATATCTAAAATATGATCATCATACAAATTGATACGATATAATTTTGTTAACCGCAAATGTTTAGATTAAAACCAACTGATAACAAACACAGGTGTATATATTCAACAACTTTCAATTGAGTAAAGATTAAGAGAGAGAGAGAGATGAATTATTTTTATCTTATTCTTTGTTTGATATATGATCAAAATGTCTTAGTTTGTTTCTATTTTGATTATATAGTGATTAACATTTTTCATAATCATAAACACGTGTTGGTTTGTAAAGGTAATCATTTTAACATTTTTGTTTGCAAGCGATGGTTGTAGGATGACACATTGTCTTATTATTTGATCAAGATAAAAGGAAAAGAGAAAAAAAGATTAATGAAATAGTGTTCTATATTTGGATTGCTTATTATAATTCATATATCAACACTGAGTCAAAATAAAAGAATCTGAAGATTAAAACACAAATTTGGTGAAACAAACAAAAGTTCGTTACAGTTATTAATGGAGATATTTTTCTTGATGATGATACGTAGAGCAAATCGAAGAGAAGATGTGAATCGCCCAAATAATGTCCCATCAGAAGAGATACATCATAAAATTTCCATTAGTAGGAGGGTGGATAAAAGTTCCTGAATGATCAAAAAACACCGAAATCAGTTTTCCAAACAAGTCTATTTGACAAAGAAAATACTTCTAAGCAAAGAAAGGCTTTTACGAGTGCTCCAAGATTTAACTTCGTGAAACGACAGGTATAAAAGACTGATTTCTGCTGTCTTACAAAAATTTATATGAATTTACTTCGGTTAATACTTTGCTAGAATGAGTGCATTTCGATAAACATAGATCGTCAACAGCTGAAGTACATGTTATTGTGTTCAGTCAAGTTTATTTACAAAAAATATTCTCACACAACGAGAAAATTAGCTCTGCAAGTATGTAAATTGTCTATCCGATTTGTTCCAGTTCTTGTCGTTAAGAAAACAAGCTAAAGACGTTTTGTGTTTAAATTTTAACATTAGATGAAATGCTGCATTTTTTACAATGTATATGTGATTGAGTTTTGAATATAAAGAAAAATCAATTGAAATGAAAAACTCTATTGTCAAGGTTTTAAAAATATTTTTCTACTTGTAAAGATTTTCTATAAGAAACAGAGAGTTCTAATTAAAATATATAAAAAAAATCATAATCAAATCAATTATTTGGTACATGAAAGATCCATACTAAAAAGGTTTTGGTCTATGTTTTTGTTCAAATCTTTGATATTTGAAAAATAAACTTATTATTCTCTCTTGTTAATGAAAGATCATTAAAATTCGAAGTCATTATATTTCCATTTCAAGTTGAAACGAATCAAACATAAATGGGTTTTGAGTGTGTCGATAAGCTACGAGAAAACGAATACCCACATTCTTAAATATACCAACACATACCCATAGAGTAGCTCTCTCCTTTATATTCACAGTAACCTACGTTCTTATTTTTCTTCAATTAAACTTTGTTGTTTAACACCATCAACTTAACATTTAAATCGAAGATTTCGATTCACAAATAAGTTTTTTTGTGATGATATTGGATTCCTGACTGAATATGTTATCGATATAGTTTAATTGATTTCTTTGATGAAAATAAATCTATTCAAGAGAATCAAAACAATTAAAATTAGGTACTCACATTGTTTTAATTTTTTGCTTTTTGAGGAAATTAGAATTTATCCGTTCATATATTTGACATTAATTATAGCAAAAAAGGCGTGTGGATGAGTGTACATGTGCTTGTGGTTGTCATGTCTAAACTCACATTCATATATACTCACATCTACCTTTTTTGATACATGATGCACATTGTTGTTCCTCGAGAACAATCTTCTATGGCTGAAAGAGGATTTAGTTAATATGTTAGAAATGTTTCTGATAAGTTTTTATTATTAATTATTCAAAAGTAAAATCAAATAAAATTTTATTGGACAAACAAGGAGAAAGTATTTTGAAGAATATAATTCGTTTTTTTACTTAAACATCAAGTAAAAAGTTGATCAAGTTGTTTTAATTCGAAGATAATTGTGAAGTTTCTTTTGATTTCATAAAGGAGAAAAATTTCGTTAAAAAAATGATTTAAATGAAATCGAAGAGGAATGGGAAAAATAAAAAGAAATTTTCACATAAAAATGAATTTATGAAGAAAAAAACAAAACTTGACAATTCTTTAGTGATAAATAAAATTTTTCAAAAAAAAATAATTTTCATGTTGAAGAAGATTTTATGCCACTATTCTGAGTTATGAGAGTAAAGTTCATAAAAAAAAACAAAGCAAAGATTTAAAGAATTTGCTAACAAAATCAAAAATAATGATAAAATTAGGATGAACATGTGATTTTTAATTGGAAAAATGATTTATATTCAAAATCGAATAAAATTTTTTTACTAAAATTATAATTTAAAATCAATAAGTTTAATTAAATAGTTAACTGATTATTATTTTCTCTAAAAATTCATATGTTTGAAAAAATGAAAAATTTCTACTTGCTCAATTAAAGATAAAATTATTTGTTTGAATCGATTAACATCAGCAGATTTTTGTTTTCTTCTTCTTTATTTTTTCAAATATGTAAAATTTCAAGTTGATTATAATCTTTAATCAAAGATAAAAATTATCTATTTTTTGTTATGTTTATTTAAATATTTATGAAATTTTTGAGAACTAACGGGTGGTCGAAAATTTTTTGGACAAAATGTTTGTTCACTTTTGACTCGCCAGAAAGTGTTTCCGACAAATCAAAAGTTATGGGTTGGGATCAGAATTTAGTGCTCTTTCCAAATATGGGCTTAGAAATTTTGTCTTAGTTTTTGTTCGAGAGTAGTGAAATAATGTTTGAAAGGCCCAAAAAATTTGTTTGGACGGAACTTGTGGGCCGAAGATTCCAATGAACATGTTTGTTCATTTTGGCCCGCTTCAAAGTATTTCAGACAAGCCAAAAGCTATAGATCACGACCAGAATTTTGTGCTCTTTTTGAATATGGACTTAGAAATGTTGTGCCTATTTTCGTTGAAGAGTAGCGAGAAACTTTTTGAAAGGCTCGAAAAATTATTACTAATGGTGAACCTACAGGTTTTTGTTCACGCTACAAGTTCCTTTTCGAACATGCTAAAAATTGTTGAAGCGAGTCGTTTTGTAGGGTGAACACTGCTCTACACAGTGTGATATTCATCTAAGCTGTAGCTTTTATTCAAGTGAAGCTACAAGCATTATATCAAGAGCTCCTTTCTATGTAATACAGTTTTTAGTCAAAAAGTCGATTTTTCAAAAATGGGTATTTAGGAAAAACGAAAATTGAGGTGTCTTGTCAGAAGACAAAAGAAACCTGAAATAGTGTATTTTGTAGAATAGCTTCTGATCTACAAGCTGATATATAAATAAAGATTCCAACTTTTAGTTTCCAATCGCAATAGTGAAAATAAAAAAATGTGCGGAAAAATTTTCTGTCCAAACTAAGTTTTTGGGCTTTTCAGAGATTATTTCACTACTCTCGAACAAAACCTAAGACAAAATTTCTAAGCCCATATTCGGAAAGAGCACTAAATTCTGATCCCAACCCATAACTTTTG